AATGCCAGAGGAAAAATTAATTCTTTTCCTTCTTCTATGTGCAATGTTTCTTCAGGATATGGCTCTCCACAACTTCCTGCTCTTTATAGCTCATTTGTCTTTTGGCTATCTCTTCTACTCTACCAACTATTTAGACAAGCTTATTAGGTAGGTTATTCACTGCTTTCCTCTGTCTCTCTTGCCTGTGAGTGTCAAATTCTACAAGCCCTCTTTCTTCATTATGTGCCCTAGAAATTTAAACTGTCTCTTTCTGATTCTAAACATAAGTGTCCAATTTTCATTTCTATATTAGAAAAATTTGTTAATTTCTTAAGAAACTTAATTGCTTATTAAAGGTCATATTTAGTGATTACATGTGTTTGAGTAGATATACCTGTTATGAATAATCAAGACTGGTCTCTCCTTGTTTTCTTACTCTCCTCTTTGAGAGAGCTATTTCTCTTTACTAGGACTATAAAAGGACACTATATGCAAACTTTGTATTCTCAGTTGAATAAAGCTTTCTTAAAGCCTATGCCTGTGTACGTTTGTCATTACAATACCTATTTTTTAAACACTGTAAATATATGTCTACTGACCTGTGCATTTGAGAGTCTTAATAAAGGTAATGTGTCTTCTGACAGAGTATGAATCTGTATCCACTTTGTAGTGAAAGCTACTATAAAACCCAGTGTGCTTTAGACTACTCAGCCACAGAAAGCTTACAGTCAAGCAACATTCAATTACTTTATTTAAGATTTGCACACACACACACACACACATATATATATATATATATATATATATATATATATATATATATATATAGAGAGAGAGAGAGAGAGATGTAAGAAAGTATATAATGATAGACTGATAAGTCTACAAATGTTCAGGGATTTTGACATTTATTTAATCTAATATATTCTCATCCTCAATATGTTGCAAGATCATGTCAGATTTTTCTCTTGCCAGATACAACCTGTTCAGAATTCACTCAGTTGATATGATTGCTTTTGATAACTGCTATAAAATGTTTATCATAGTTCCCTTGTGTAAACTCCAGAGTAACAAAATATATTTAATGGCAATATTTTCCATTTATTAAGTTTCCCCATCAAATCAACCTTGGAGCTTTTTAATATAACAGGGGAAGTAACTCCTAACTTGTTCACTAGAATAACAACTTCAAGAAATTTTCACTCTTAGCTCTAAAAATATTAATGAACAGAAAAAAAAACCCAAAAGACCTTGAAGCAGAAAACACTGTCATGGTTGACTAATAATACTAGCCATTTAAAAGTCAAAAATGTTTTTGTTTTTATTATCATAGTTGTTGTGATTAGTAGGAAATTATAAACAAATGAAAATAACATTTGTATTTAAAAAATTATTTTTTTAACTTATTTTCCATTACTTTGTAGAGTTTTAGATAAAAAAAAAATAAAAACTCCACCTAGCGAGCAGATAAGTGAGGTAATTTAATACCCTTGGCACAGTAGGGACAACCGAGACGTTTTAAGACCCTTACCATGGTCTGGTTCAGAGAAGAGGTTAAAACAACACATGCTGCAATTGACATCCACACTCACACCATGAGGAACAAAGATATTCATAGATGACAGTTGATTACCTCACCTCACCTTGACTCAAAGTTTGTAATCTTGTAGAGTGCAAACCTCATTGACTGTAAGTACCATGTTTATGTCATGTCATATTGTTTTTTTTTACATTGTTGCATTTAATAAAAATGGTAAACATAATTTGGCATCTATCTTTTCATTTCCCTTTTTAGTACATCATATTTATTCTTGTTTGGGAGCTCCTTGAGGTAGGGAGCTATTATAAAATAACAACCCAACAACTTTCTTTGGTTTGTTTGTAATCATCACTTTTGTTTTAAGGAAAATGTTTTTCCTGTTAAAAAATAATGGGGGCTTCTCACTAGATAAAGAAAATAGGAAGTAGCCAGCAATGACACAAATTTTACAGGAAGGAAAATAAATAGAAACAAAATTATTACAGAACTAAAACTGGTTAAAAAGAGGAACTGGGGTCATTTACTGGGTGCAGGAAATGAAGAAAGGAAAAGGCTCATTTTCAATAAGAAAGACTACAAAGGACAGGAAATTATGGAGAGCCATGATCACCAATGTCCTGAAGGGATATGACACATAGAAGATGTCAAATTGATATCATGGTTATTAAATTTAAATTCTCTCTTTCTGATGTTAAGTATAAGTGTTCATTTTGTTTTCATTTTCCCTAAAACTTTATTGTTGCCTACATTTTCAGTTCATGGTATTCTTGTAGCATCCTGCTACTACTTTCTTATCAATGTTGAATTTTGTACATTTTTGTGCAAAAAGTGGATCAGAGAGCCTACACAGTAAATATTTTCATGAAATATCAGCTTCTAATTGGTCAATAAACACACAAGTGGACATTGCAATACATCCACATACAAATATTTTCCCAGCATGTAACCAAGTCAAGTTTTCCTGCCATTTTCTGTGAAACCTGTCACATGATTACATTCATTATAAATAGCAGACACAACCTTGCTTTTCCAGCGAAAATGTGACCTTAAAGATTCTCGTCTCAACTATGGGCGGTCAGATGTTAAAAGCATATTCACACATACACATACATTCAAACTTTTCCAACGTACATTACAAACATACAAAACATTTCCAAACAAGCAACAAGAACTTTTCTCTTTGAAATATTCCTCTAAAGCTACAGTTTATTCAGTATTTCTCAGCTTTGTAATTAGTTCAACTTTTGTGAGCAGAGATAAAAATATTCGAAGTCTAAGGGGCATAACACCCACAGAACTTTAACTTCTAGGCATGTACATCAATACACAAAATGAATACAAATGTTACTGTTTCAAAACCATTTTGTTCCTTCTTGTATTTCATGTTTTGTGGTATTTTACGTTAAATATAAATTGTGTGGTCATGTTACTCAGGCAGCAATAAAAAGACAACTACAATTGGGCCATCTGTACTAACATATCTCTACATCCTCAGTATTCATCTGTAGAACTATATTTCCGTTGCTTCAAATCTCTTCTTTAACTTTAAGGAAATTGCCCTGCATTCACTGCCATATAGGAGGACTGATAACAGTTCAGTACTATTTTCTTTGTTTATAACAAAATTTTCCTGTTTTATAATACTTTGCTTATCTTTTGGTAGGCATCTTTTGCAATCCCAATGCACCTTTGTATTTCTGAGTCACACTTTCCGTCATCTGTTAAAACACCTCCTGGATCTTTAAATTGTTGTACTTGCTTGATTTTGGTGTCTCGAATTTGTAATTTGCATGTTGGCAGGTGACTTAATTTTCACATTTCATATCAGACTATCAAGTGACACATTTTTCTCACTTTGACATGGCAGAGAACTAAGATTTTGTAATATTATAATAATATACCTGTTTGAATTTCATTAAATCAAGCTGATCTCATTGATTGTTAATCAGAGTTCCTTTATCTATATAACTTTTCCAGTCAATTTATTGACATTCTATTTTATTGGAAATAAAATTAAAGTATCTTTGAAGTCTTCATAGTCTTTGACTTATTCTTAATATCCAAAGAAGGATACCTACTGTAGAGCAATAGATAGCAAGCCTTTTACCTGTCTAAGCTAAGTTTATAGATATCCCCATATATCAGGAACATGCCATAGATTTACAGGCTTTCAGCCATATCACTTTGAAACATTGGTTCTCATTCATTCACTAAAGTTAAGCAGCATTGAGTCTGGTCAATTACCTAGATGGGTAATTGCCAGGTGCTATAAGCTTGGATGTGTGGGTGATGTAATTGATAACCATACTTAGTGAATACATTTCCTGAGTCCTCCACTATTGTGACCTTTTATCTGACTAAGCTTTGCTTAAAACATCCAAATTTTTGAGAACTGAACATTCTTTTCAATAGAAAAAATATTAGGTCTTTTGAGGTCTTTAGTTTTTCAGAATTTTAAGTGAGAAATTCTATATCTGTATCCAAGAAGATTCCTCTAAAATATTCTTACAGATGTCTTGGATACCATGTCATTGTTAATCTTTATGGAATTGTGTGAGGGGTGTTCTGCCTGGAGGATGAATCCCCAATTACCACATTGCTAAGCTATTTTCTATATTCATATTCCAATATGGAGACAAACCATTCTGACTGAGTTAAAAAAAAAAACAGGAATTAATAAACAAATTTTATATCTGTTCTTAAATATGAAAAATATATAAAATCTGTTATTATTATATTATATGTAGGTTACCTGGATTGATAGACACCTGATGAAGACCAGAGGACACAAGGACCGAAACGTGATAGCATGAACAAAGATGATGAAAATAGTCCACATGTAAATAATGTAAATCATTATAAAATTTGTTGCAAAAAAATATTTTTATAAATTAAAATTTGTTGTTGAAAAATATTGTTATAGTATAAAATTTGTTGCAAAAACAAATTTTTATATAATAAAATTTGTTGAAAAAATATTTTTATATAATAAAATTTATTGCAGAAAAATATTGCTATAGTATAAAATTTGTTGAAAAAAAAATTTATATAATATTTGTTGCAGAAAAATATTCTTATATTATAAATCATATTTCAGAATTACTTCTTTTATGCAGCAATAGAGTTAATTGTATAGATAAAAATTCTTAGTTTTTCTGTGGAAAATTTGACCATTGTAATCACAAAATTATTTTGCTGGTGTTTTTTATGCTTAGATTGATTGATTCATTCATTTTTTACAGCTTATCAACCCTTTGCAGGTTATTTAAAGCCAGAAAATATTTTTAGATTGTAAGAATATTTTTTGGAGATAATAATGATTTTAGTGATACTATTCTTACTAATTAAACCATAGCCAGAGGGGAGAAGAGGTGGATTCATACTTTGCACCTGAGTGAATATAACAAACCCAACTGGAATTGGAACTTGGCTCTCCGATCAACAATTTCAAGCCCTTATCTATTACACCACCCACACATCCATGCTTACAGCACCTTGTACTCACAAGCAGTCACCCATCTGGATACTGACCAGGCTCAAAATTGCTTAAATTTGGTGATCATACAGGAACTGGTGTTCCAACATGATATGGACATAAGCCTTTTTCATGCTTAGAATAAACCAGTAAATAATAACAACCATATTTTTAACATACAAATAAGAAGTTATGAAAAATTCTTGAAAGTTAAAAGCAAGTGTGGGATTACCCCACCTTTTATGCCATAGGTCTTCTCTTAATGCCCATTAGGTGGTGTTGTATAAAGCTGTAAAAATGAAAGAATAGAAATTACTCTTTTTTTTTCTCTCCACACCCACAGGAAGCCATAGTGACAGAATACCTTGTTCCTCTTCCAGAGAGACTTCTTAGCTCCCGTTTGAACCAACTTGTTATTTGCAACTGAACCACATGTCTAATTACATATGAATGACATCTACTCTACAACCTATCACATAAATATATATCTCTCTTCAATCACAGTTCAATAAATAAGATAACACTGCTACAAACTGGACTACTGTAACAAACTGGTAACCTAATGTCATTACACAATTTTAAGAAAAACATTGTCAGTCATTTTCTCACTCATAATAGAAGATCGAATGTTAGTAGTTTGTTGAAGAATGCATTTTTTCACCTAAATCCATGTGTGTTGACATCATTTGTTTTGAGTTTGGTAAAATATTCTAGCAAATTACGCTAGAGTTTGTAACCAATTTCCATTAAACAGGTATAAAATATATACTAGAATTAAAAATAGAATTTGAAATAAACTTAAAAAAGAATACAGGAGTTAAGTCACAGACTAAAATGATCTTGAAAATGAGTAAAACTGAAGCTTTTTTTTTTTTTAAATCTTGTATACAAGATGACAAAAAACAGGCAATTTTTTTCTTGTAGTAAAACATCAAATACAATAGTAAGACAGAATGGAACAATGCTATTGAGATTTATACAGTCTCTGGTTGCAACAATGCTACTTGCCAAAATAAACATTTTTTTTAAAAAAAAACAAACCCTCTTTTGATATCTGCAGAAGAGTTCACAATTAGAAAATTGTTTTAAAAAAAATATGAAGAAAATTTGATTAAAACCACCCCACCATGAAACATACACACATCAAAGTTTTTATAGAATTGATAGTACACCCTCTTTTAATATGAATCCCAATCAAATTCAAATTTAATGAGGTTACTTAAAAAAAAAATGTTTGTGTATTTTTTAGCACAACAGTCAGGATTTTATCACAAAAGCAAAGTTTATATTCGATAACAGTAGAAATCAATTCAACCTGGTTGTTTCATTCATGATCAACCCAACCAAGTTGAAAAACAACACAAGGAACTATTTGAAATTCCCCAAACAAAAAAAAACAAATAACATTTACATTAAAAGTGTTCAGGTGCATGGCATAATCAACAAGGAGTCTCGAATCAATTCCATAATAGAAATACATGTTTCATTTACTCTACTACAAATTCTCAATTCTTTGTAAACATCCAGTTGATTCTATAAAAATCATCTAAAATGTCCAGTATGGATATACTGACAGGATTTTATATCTTGATCCTCATTACAACCATCACAACCACCACCACTCCTACCATCATCATCATCATCATAATAATAATAATAATAATAATAACTAGCAGCATGGCCCGGTGTTGCCCATGCTTGATTCAAAAATCATATGACTCATACAGCAATCGCTATCACTTGACTTAAAATATTTTTGCCCTTCCTTGCCTTTAAAGGAGTGCCCTTTTCCATGCTGATGTTGCTTCATGCCTTACTTCTTGCCTATCTCACACTGCGGATTTTTTCTAAGCTCTATACTAAACATTAAATCTGTTACGAAAAAGAACTAAACAAAATGAACACAAAATGATCAGCTTTAAAAAAGGACTCATAACTGGAAAAACCAAATGAAAAAAAATGTTAACAACTAATACTTTTTTCACACCCAACCCAGTTCTGCGGAATCAGAATCAACGTTGAGTTTAAGCAAGCGAATGAGTCAATTGGAGTAAAGTGCCATGCAGATTTAAATTTTTCCCACTTGTGACGAATGCAGCTATCGATTTTTTTTGCATGCTAGTTAACATTCGTGTCAGTCAGTTGTTGGCTCTCACACTGGCCAATAGAATCTTCCTGCCTATTCATGGCAGCCAGCTATTGGCTCTCACTCTGGTCAGTACAAAATGGCCGCAAACTACATGAAAACTGCCGTAGAAGCATGAAAAAATTGATTATTTCCACTATCAATGGGAGTTGGGAAATGCAAGGTTGATCTTGGCCTTTCCACTAACTTGGAGCATGTGCATGTAAATTTTGGTGCAAATCCATCGAAAATTGCGGCTGTGCATTCATTACACACACACACACACATCCTGCCTTTTATAGATAGAGATAATAATAATAATAATGAGGAACTGAATCTCATGCAGGATACAACCATCTTGACTGACAAGCACTTGGAGAGCAATCGCCCTGACATTGACACCACACTTGCATGCAAGAGCAGACACAAATTGATTCTGATAGATTTAGTACTATCTTGGGATATGAAGATACGGACAGAAAATGAATTGATTAGCTACACAAAAAATAGAAAAGCGTATAAAACAAGGATGTGTCTTCTGCCCAGATTTGTTCAACATTTACAGTGAAGCTATCCTAAGGTAGCTGGAGACATTACTAGGATTTATCAGTGGGCGTATAGTGGGTCAGCCAATTTGTATTGGTTATAAATAGAAATAAAGACTGACCCTCTACAATTTTTACAATATCAAATGTAACAAAGACAACAACAAGAGAAATAATCAAGTAGAAGAAATTATGAATTTGTTCAACAATAAATATTTTTTATAAACACAACAAATACATAATATATAGTGCAAAAGTTGATAAACACAATAGAGTTCTTTGGTGTGTGTGTGTTACTGAAAGAATTTGAGTTACTGTACTGTATGTATGAAAATGACAAGGTTTAGTTAGCTATATTTGTTTTTATAGGAAAATTAAACAGATGTTTTTTGTATAATAAATAGAAAAAAGTATTGTCTTGACTCACTGATTGTTATAGAGTTATCGCTCATTAACCAGAGATTCTTCTTGTGGAATGGAATATTTTTTGGAGTGAGTTGTTAAGCCTGAGATGGTTGACAAAGTTTGTTGTTGTATTGAAGATAAAGTTCGTCTCCTTTGCTGTGTTGATTTCCAATGAAGTCAAGTGAATTGGTTTCAATATTTTAAGTGCCCACTGACCAAGTCGCGTCGAAGTTTTTGTTTTTATTAGTTCTCTTGGTCACGTGGGGAGGCTCTGCTAACATGTTTACATTTTATGGCGTCAACTAGAGGTCAAAAATTTGGGTTGGTACCTTCGGACGTAGTTGACGACACCTAATTAATATTTTACAACCAATCAAAATACATCAGTTGTTATATTTCGCTGGGAGCCTCTATGTGTTTAACTTGCACAAAATTTAAGATTTAAAAAAAAATGTAGGAAACTGATTCTACAGGCGCAATCTTAATATAGCATATGCAGATGATACTGTGTTGATGGCTGATACAGAAAGAAAACTACAGGACCTCCTAGACAGGGTAGTTGAAGAAAGTGAGAAAAAAGGACTAACCATCAACTGCAAGAAGATAGAAAGTACAATCACCATCAAGAGGAAAAGCTAAAGATGCACATTACATATTGGAGATGTCAACATCAAGCAAGTGCAGAAGTTGAAATATCTGGGAAGTGCTTAACAGAAGAAGGAAAATGCAACACTGAAATCCAAACATGCATTCAACTAGCAAAAAGCTAAACAAAGGGCTGAAAAAATTCATTAAAAACAAAGAAATGATTGCTATATGATATCCATCCTCTTATATGGCAGCGGATACTGAACAATCTCTCCACAGTATCTGTCTATATTTCTGAGATGATGAATGAGTATGTAAGACATTTACATGATTCAGATTAAATACTCATTTTGTCACCATATTTATTACAACATTTTGGCCGTTGTATTTGTAGCCTTTTTCAGACAATGGCACGTGGAACTAGAAAAAAGTCTAGCCTAGTGAGCGAAACAAATTAATTTCAATTCAACATTCCAACCACCTGAAGAAGAAGTTTTAGCCGGGGCCAAAAATTTTTCATAAAAATAATGAAAAGATGAGCACAATAATCAAATAACTAAAATAATTTCTCCAAAATGAAGAGAAAACTGAAAAATCCAGAAATGTGGTTCTACAGAAGGATACTGAGAATTCCATGGATCGAGTGAGTAAGCAACTAGGAAATCTTAAAGAAAAATGGTAAGAGAAAGAACACATCTACACAGAATTAGAAAGAGATAGTTGAAATTCCTTAAAAACATGATGAAGAAGGAAGGCTTGAGAAACTTAATTCTCACATGGCATATTGAAGGCTAGAGAGAGAGGTTTTGAAAGCCATGTCTGCCCATGTCCTGAAAGAATAAAGAAAAAGAAAAGATTGAAAACACATAGTAGATAACCATTTCTGTATTGTTTTTATTGGAAACCTTTTACATTTAATATTAATATGAATGTGTGGTTTGCATACAATCAAATACATCTGTATATTAGTTATATTGCATATCAATTATCAAATTATTATATATAATATATATATATATATATATATATATATATATATATATATATATATATATATATATATATATGTGGCTGAGTGGTTTGAATGTTTGTTTTTCTGGCCAACCAAACTTGGTTCAAATCCCACCATTTAAAAATATATCAACCGGGGGTTCTTTTGATAATATTGACCTTGAGAGACAATTCCAGTGCAGCAACTTTGGAAAGTGTCTAAAAACCACACCATGAGTTAACACAGACCTTGTGAATAAAATTGAATAGACAGAACTATTTGGAAGCTGTCAATGGTTGCACCAAATCACAAGTCATCATGACCGAGGAATTGAACATTATTATTATTAGATATTAAGCAACTGAATAAAAAAGTGGAAAAATTCTGTGTAACATATTTTGCCCACTTCAAATATTTCATCTAAATAAAGTAATGTTCTTATTGATGGAATTATATATATATATATATATATATATATATATAAGATTAGGACTCAATATATATATATATATATATATATATATATATCTGTCTATATATATATATAATCCTATACGGTGGAGTAATGGATATTATTGATTGAGGAATCGCAGAGCCAAGTTCAATTCCAGTTATAATCCATTACATTTTATTATATGTGCTAATACCATATTGGGAAAGGTATGAATCTCTTTCTTCTCCCTCCAGCTATGGGTAAAATAAACAAATTATGGCAACTGGTCTAGGAGAAGGACAATTCTGAATTCAAAACCTGCAAAGGGTCATTTTTCAATGACCTTTGTTGCATGTAGTGCAAATAGGTCTCTGAATTTGGCTCTTCAAAAAAATTTGGCTGGTCCTGCACAAAAATTCACCACTATAATCAATTCTCATGTGTCCTTGTCGGGATGTTGATTTCCTGGGAACTGAATCTGCTTTACCCTCATAAATCGGATTTGGACAGAAGATCGATGATATATACATATATATATATATTTATATATATATAAATATAATTTAATTATATAAATGTTTTAATAAAATATGAATTTTTGATTTGCTAATAATCAAATCAATCTCGAGAAAAAAAGGTTTTTAAAAAGAAAGAGCTAGAAACATGAAAGTCTGTCAAAAAAATCACACAGATGCAGGTTTGAAGCCCAAAGAAAAAACCACAATATGAGTAAACAACTAACTAACAAAAGAGCTCAATACAACTGTAGAGCAGACCTAGATAAACCTAGTGAGCCAGACAAACCTACCCAGGTTTCATTATACATAAAGGTTTAAAGATTTATTCAAATCTTTAATATATTTATGTTTTATATGTTTTTTTTATCTTTGGTCACGTGTTGGTATAATTTTGACTATATATTAAATATATTATTTATTTGCCTCTTTAGAAAAGCTTTCCTAAAAATTAACTCTTTTTGAAAACATTCAGGTTTGTCTGGCTTGTACTAGGTTTATCTATATATATATATATATATATATATATATATATATATATTTGAATAAATATAGGATCAAATAGAACATTTTTGCCTGAAACTGATTTGTCTTAACAATAAATAAAACACTAGATTCATTTGTTTAAATTATTTGAAAAAGACATATGCAACTACTTGAAATTATAAGTAAATTATTTAAGTAAAAAACTTTCACAGAAGCTTTTAGAAGTTTTAAAAATTAGGGCACAATTTTAAATTTGCATATGGATACATTTTTTTCAAATTTGATTAAATCAAGTTTCTTAAAATATCATCCAACAGGCATGAACACACACATAAAAGGTAAAATCTGATGCAGACTTTCGAAGAATAAGTGGATTTAAAAAGCATTTCTAGTATAAACTTTTACAATTCTTAAAAATCAAAGAAATGCCTCACATTTTTAGGTTCAAAACCTTGAAGTATATGTCGCTAAAAATGCTGGATATGTTTTAAAACAAAACTATATTCTACATATTTCAAATTAAGTCTCTATTTAAAAAAAAATATTAATTCTATTTGACATGAAACACTACATGAGTATAAGCTGTCTCAGCAATTTGAAATCTTTACATGTAATTTTTTTTCCCATGAAATCTCATATCGAAGTTTTATCATCTCTGTATTCTTTATAATGAATGTTTATAAAAAAAATTAAAATATGGAATAAAATTAGCTATTCTATACATTTTATTTGATCTAAAAGTATTACAAGTAAATTTTGAAACAAAATTTATATATTTAACATATTTAATTTTATGACCTTATCATTGGATGTAAATTTGTTTCCATACATTTTACATATAAAAGCAATATTGACTCATTAATATTTGCATTAATTCCTGACCACTGACAATCCCATTTGCGCCAATTTTCAATGCACATCTATAGTAGAATTATTTATAATGCATTTCTATAATCAATGTTTATATATGAAGTATATTCTATCTCTGTTATCACAATATTGCTTGCATTAATTCCAAACCACAAGTCAAGCCTTTTCCTGATATTTTAAGTATTTCTACAATAAATAACATTCAATCAGCAAAAGTGGAAATTTAAAAATTTTTGATAAAAATTTTTCCTTTTCTTTGATTTTCAATGAATTTCTATAGTAAATATTATAAACTTTTTTTATTCTGTTTTTGAAGATGTTCCTCCTTCAGAGGATTTTTTTGATTTATTAATCTCTCTCATTTATATATATATATATATATATATATATATATATATATATATATGGAGAGAGAGAGAAACTTAGATCAATTAAACACAAGGAGGAATATTTTCAGTTCCATAATATAACATTATTAGCTCCTATTATTTACTATAGAAATTCATTGAAAATCAAAGAGAAAGGATTGTCAGTGGTCAAGAATTACTAAGTAGTAAAGTAGTGGTTCTTGGGTTCATTTAATTTGTATTGTGTGCATGTTTTGTTTTTCATTATTGTATACCTACTTTTGCGCACACATGTATGTGTGAGTGTGTGTATGTATCGCCGTGTGTCTGTGTCTATGTATCTCTGTGTGTCTGTATATGTGTAGGGATGGATGGATAATTATACTAATTTAAATTTGTTATATTTATTGGGGAAGAGGGTTCAATATTGAAGAAAGAGCATTTGTACATATTGATAGCATGAACATATATATGAAATAATGCAGAATAGTTAGTTCTGCTGGTATTAAACCAATGCCTGATTTGGAACAAAAGAACTAAAATTAAGAGAACTAATAAATACACATTTTACTCTTTACCATTTAATGCAACTTTTTATGCACAAGTAAATATGTGTGTGTGTGTGTGTGTGTGTGTGTGTGTGTGTGTGTGTGTGTGTGTGTGTACTTAGACAGCAATCCCGCTTTTATACTAGTTTCATTATAAATGACTGACAAAGTACTGCAATTAAGTTTTTATTCAATTTTTACTGTTTTATTCTAATTTTCTTTTTTTTTTTGGTGGGGGGACATAAATTATGTAAAAATTGTCCGAATATTCTGTATATCCGAGCAGTTTCAGCTATACTTTTAGCCATTATCAAAGATGATTTAATTTTTATTTTTACTTTTAAGTGAATGTTAAAACAATCTATAAATTCAGTTAAAAGTATAAATGAAATCATCCTTGATAATGGCTAAATATATAGCCAAAAGCGTTTGGACATACAGAACATTTAGATAATTTCTACATAAAAAGAAAATTATGGTAGCACAAGAAAATTTTAAATTATATATATATATATATATATATATATATATATGCATGTATATGTATATATATACTAACAGTATGTCTAATTTAATATACTTATATTCAGATTGTTTGAATTTGTTTCTTCATAGATAGATAGATAGATAGATATGAAAATAACTGTTTAGATAAATGATAGGTCATAGATAAAATATGAGATAGATAGACAGGTAGATATGAAAAAACTAATATAGATAGATAGATAGATAGATAGATAGATATTTAGATAGATAGATAGATAGATAGATAGATATGAAAGAGATATAAAAGACTTCCAATAGATAGGTAGATAGATAGGATTATAGATATGAAAAAAGACTGAAATAGATAGATAGATAGATAGATAGATAGATAGATAGATAAAAGATAGATAGATAGATAGATAAAAAGAGATAAATAGATATAAAAAAGACTAAATAGATAGATAGATAGATAGATAAATAGATATGAAATAGATAATAGATAGATAGACAGATAGATAGACAGATAGATATAAAAAGACTGAGATAGACAGATAGATATGAACAAACTAAGATAGATAGATAGATATGAAAAGACTGAGATAGATATAAAAAGACTGAAATAGATAGGTAGATAGGGATATAGATATGAAAAGACTGAAATAGATAGATAGATAGATAGATAGATAGATAGATAGATAGATAGATAGATAGATAGATAGATAGATATGAAAAGACTGAGATAGACAGATTTGAACAAACTAAGATAGATATAGATAGATAGATAGATAGATAGATATGAAAAGACTGAAATAGATAAATAGATAGGTAGATAGATATGAAAAGACTGAGATAGATAGATAGATAGATAGATATGAAAAGACTGAGATAGATATGAACAAACTAAGATAGATAGATAGATAGATAGATAGATAGATAGATAGATAGATAGATAGATAGATATGAAAAGACTGAGATAGATATGAACAAACTAAGATAGATAGATAGATAGATAGATAGATAGATATGAAAAGACAGATAGATATAACAAGACTGAAATAGATAGGTAGATAGATAGGTATATAGATATGAAAAGACTGAGATAGATAGATAGATAGATAGATAGATAGATAGATAGATAGATAGATAGATATGAAAAGACAGATAGATATAACAAGACTGAAATAGATAGGTAGATAGATAGGTATATAGATATGAAAAGACTGAGATAGATAGATAGATAGATAGATAGATAGATAGATATGATAGATAGATAGATAGTGATTGAGATAGATAGGTATATAGATAGATAGATAGATAGATAGATAGATATAATAGATAGATAGATAGATAGATGATAGATAGATAGATGAAAAGACTGAGATAGATATGAACAAACTAAGATAGATAGATAGATAGATAGATAGATAGAAAAGACAGATAGATAGATAGATAGATGAAATAGATTTGTAGATAGATAGATAGATAGATTGAAAGATGAGATAGATAGATAGATAGATAGATAGATAGATAGATAGATATAGATAGATATATAGATAGATATGAAAAGACAGATAGATAGAACAATACTGAAATAGATAGGTAGATAGATAGGTATATAGATATGAAAATGACTGAGATAGATAGATAGATAGATAGATATATAGATATGAAAAGACTGAGATAGATAGATAGATAGATAGATAGTAGATAGATAGATAGATAGATAGATAGATAGATAGATAGATAGATAGATATTGAGGGAGAAAATGAGATGATAGATAGATAGATAGATAGATAGATAGATAGATAGATAGATAGATAGATAGATAGATAGATAGATAATATAAAAGATAGATAGATAGATATAATAATTTACAGAAAAGATGGGTAGATAGATAGGTATAATATAGAAAAAACTGAGATAGATAGATAGATAATAGATAGTAGATAGATAGATAGATAGATAAATATCATAGATAGATAGATAGATTTATTGATAGATAGATATAATGGACAGATTATAGATAGATAGATAGACATTTAAGATAGATAGATATAAATAGATAGATAGATAGATAGATAGATAGATAGATAGTTTAGATAGATATGAAAAAAATGAGATAGATAGATAGATAGATAGATAGATAATAATAGATAGATAGATAGATAGATAGATTTTTTAGATAGATGATTGATAGGAGAAAACGTAAATTATTTAGATATATAGATAGATAGATAGATAGATAGATAGATAGATTTAATCAAAAAATTTATAGATAGATAAATTCAATGTATTATTATAAGATATGATATTATTCCTCGATAAGTGAATTTTTCAATATAATAATAAAAATTTAAAGAATTTATTGAAATAGAATAAATACAGTTTTTAATTAATTTGATCATTTTTCAATTTTAATATGATATCCATTTTTAATTAATCTTTATTTAATTTTAATAATTCCTAAAATGGAATAAAATCATTTTCAATATATTCCATTTTTTTTTGATTGTAATAGTATTATGAATGAACGGATAATCATTTTTTTTTCAAATCAAATTGACATATTTTCTTTCCAAAATGATCATTTCTCTGATAAAATCTCTCATTCTCTGATTCTTTATTTCTCTCTGAATTTCTTTCTTATTTTGAAATTTTTAAACCTTAAAAAAAAATTTCTTTATCTTTTTTAATTTCTAAGATATTTATTCAACGACAGAGACTCCATTACCATTTCTTCTACAAATATTCCTCCTTGTTTTCTTCTTTTATTTTTTTCCCCTTTATCCTCTCTCCTCCATTTTAGAACAATCATTATGAATTTTTTTTTTCACAATTTTGATAAATTTTTTATAAAATGATATATATTTATATATATATATATATATATATATATATATATAAATATTTATATATATATATATATAGAAAATATATATATAAGTATAAATTTATATAAAAATATTAAATATTTTTGGTCGAGAATATTTATGAATTTCTTATATATATATATTTAATAATAACTATATATAAATATATATATGTATAAAGAACGATTTTTACAAACGCAAGATAATATAAATATATATATATATATATATATATATATATAATATTTTTTCCCCAAATCCAATAACAGAAATAATGGATAATTTATATATATAATATATATATATATATATATAAATTATATAAAATTAAAAAAATTCTTTTTAATGATAAAAGTAAACCTTATTCATATTGTTTAAATATTTAGATATAAATAAATATTAAAAATTTGAAAATAGTTTTATATATTATATATATATATATATATATATATATATATATATATATATATATATATATATATATATATATATTTTACTATATTTTATTATTCATATAATTTTTTTTTTTTTAAATTTTTCAAATTAATTTTTCATTTTAAATTTTTATCTATATTTTTAAACCCAAATATAAATATTATTAAATAACATATTTATAATGTAATTTAGAATTATATACATTTTTAAAATCAATTTTCACAAAATGTCCATTTTTTATTTCTATTATATTTTATTTTGTTTTTAATAAAATATATTTTGTGAATCAAATTTTAAAAACCTTTAATTAAAATTTTTTTAAATTTATATTTCTTAAATTTATTCTATAATTATTTTAATGTATATAAAAGAAAATTTCAATTCTTTTTTAAAAATGATTATTCCGATTTGTTATTTTGACTTAATAAAATCTTTGTGTTGAAAATTTCTCCATTTTTAACTTGCAATCAATATCCCATCAAAAGCTAAAAATCAAAATCCCTCCATTGCAAAAAATTTTCAATCAAATTTTTTTAAAGATATTTTAAACAATGAATCAATTCCATAAAAAAAAAATTTCAATAAAAATTTAAATTTCAATGTGGATTCGAAACAAAAACAATTAATTTTCAATTGGATGCATTTTTAAATTAAGTATTTCATAATTCATATTTATAATTAATAAAAAAAACTTCAAAAAATTTTTTTTTTTTTTTTTTAAATTTCTTAAGATTTTTAGGTTTTTTTTTTTAATATATTTTTATAATTTCATGTGTGTTTTAGTTTTCAGTTTTTTTTTCATTTTTTCATTTAAATTTAAAATAAATGAATATAAAAAAACATTTAATTTTTTTTAGTTTTTTTTCCATTCTTGTTTTTTTTATATAAAAATTCAATTTAACTAACAAAAATATGTATTTCCAGTAGAAAATATTTTCCATTTTTTTTTGCCAACATTTTAAAAATATTATATTTTTATTTTATATATATATATATATATATATATTTTTATATATATATATATATATATATATTATAGTTTAATTGTTTTTTATTCTTCAAAAAAAAATTCTTTGAAAGGTCCTTTCCCTTAATTTTCATTGTAATTTTAATTAAATAAAAAAAAAAAAAAAATATCTTAAACCCGGATTCAAAAAAATTTCTCCCTTTAAATTTTTTATATCCAGGTTAAATAAATAAATATGAAAAATATAACAATATGTAATTTATAAATTTACTAAATAGTATCAAAAATCTAATTCAAAAAAATCCAGAAAATATATAAACCTTTAAAAATTTGTATTTAATAAAACAAAAAATTTATTTTTTATTACTTTTTTTTTAAAAAATCTAAGAATAATTTCCATTTAAATATATATATATATATATATATATATATATATATATATATATTCAAAATTTCTTTCATTTCAATTCCATTCAAAATTTTTTTGTTTACATTTTGTGTAAGTTCTTTTCCTTTTACAATAATTTCAAAGAAAAAATTATATATTATTAAAAATAGCAGGGCATCAAAAAAAATTCTTATTTTTTCCAAACAAAAAATTTGTTTCTTTTTAGATTAAAAATTTGTTAGAATTCAAAAACATTGATCCACAAATACATAGTATTTTGTCAAATTTTGTCACCTCATTAAACTTAATAACAGGATAATTTAAAAATTTCCTATTTTATAAAACAAAAGAAGAATTTTGAAAAATTTAAATTGACCTGAATTTTTTTAACCAAATTGCAAGATTAAACATTTATATGGCCAATTTTAAATTCATGGAAATTTTAACTTTAATTTTTTTTCAATGAAATATATATTTATATATTTTATATTTGTTTTATGTTTGTCCATGTACAGAATTTAAAATAAATTTTTTGGGTGAATAGCCTTTTGTCAAACCAGATGTTAAAAACAAGAAGAAAAAATAAACAATAATTTTTATAGAAAATGAAAAATTTAAATCATATTTTTATAGTTGCCTTTTCTTTTATAAATATAAAGTCAATGATATTAAATTTCATCTATACCCTATATTTAACATATAATTTGATATGATCAATATTTATTTTTATTATATTTATACAATACATCTAAATTTTTATATATTTATAAATATATATATATATATATATATATATATATATATTTAAAAATAAATCTAAAAAATTTTTGAAATTACATTCTTATATCAATAAATAAATAAACACAAATTTAAATTTTTTTATATAAATATATATAAATTTATTTAATCATATTCTAACACTACATTTTCTTTTTTTTTCATTCCTATTTATATGCTTAACCAGATTTAAAAAAATATTTTTATTATTCATATCCTGTTTTTATTTCATTTAATACTTTTTTTTTTATTCTTAATTGGGAATGAATAAAATGAGTTTTATTTCATTTATATATAATATATAAAAATATAATATAAATTTGAACAATTTTTGAAATAATTTTTCAGCCACTAAATGCAAAATTTTACTTTTATTAAATTTTGTTTATTTAAAAAAAAAATATTTATGATATCACAATAAAATTCCTAAGAAATATTGACATTTAAAATAATGATATGAAATTGCATTTAAATAAATAAATTTTTCAAAACCATGATTCTTCCGTAGATTTAAATGTTAAATAAATTATTTCCAATTATTATATGAAAAATTTATATAAATATATTAATTCATTTCCAATAAACTTATATTATAAAAATATTATTTTTTTTCATATTTTGTGTAAAAATGAATGATAATTATTGGATTATTAAACACTTTATGAAAATTAATAAATATATATATATATATATATATATATATATATATATATATATATATATATATATATATTGTACAAATTGTGTAACAGCAAAATTGTCCAATTGTTAGATTAAGCTTTGAACCGTTGTATCTTAGAAATGATTAAAGATATCTTACTGGAATTCTCCAAGAGTTTTTATAACACTATTGGACTCTACTTTGAGCAATAAGAATGTATAATTACTCTCAAGCTTAACAGAAGAATCGTGATGAAATCGATCATAAACGAAAATGACATGTTCATCATTAATTAATCATAGCTAAGGATCGAAAGCTCATGAAGGATTGAAATAATATATATATATATATATATATATATATATATATATATATATATATTTATATATATATTATTCAAGATCATTTTCCAACTTATTCAAGATGATCTTTAACCTCTCTAACCTTCTAAATTTCTGTCCTGGAGTAACAAGGTGCCTCACAGGTTTCCCGTACGATTTCATTTTCAAGTCTTTTTTTCACTGCTCTTTGGACTGTCATAGCTGAAACTCCTCTCTCACGTGCCAAACGTCTTATGAATTGAGTTGGATCTTTTCTAATTCATCTCTTTAGCTCTAAGTTGAAATGATGATCCCCTCTTCCTGTTGTGACCTCCTGATCCAGTTTTTCCTCTCTACTGTTCCCTTTTTTTTTTTACTTATTCACCGTTCTCTTGATGGTTCTTGAATGGACTTTGAAGATGGAAGCCAGAGTATGAATGTTGGTACCATTACTGAAGGCCTGAATGATCTTTTTTTTTCTCACCATTGCTCATTTGGAAAAACAGTGGGGCTGACACAAAATTTTTAACCTGTTCTCTTTCTAGCTGAATAACTCAAAGGGTTTTTTTCAGTGATTCTTACGACAAATGGTGTCAAGATGGCTAAACGTCTTATCTGAAAACCTGGAAAAAAAAACTCAATTAGTTTAGTGTTTTTTTAGATATTAAACATTTTGTTTTGATGGACAATGAAAAAATATTATTGAGACAAAATACTTCATTTTTGTCCATCAAGAAATTTCCTCAATTGTAGTTTACTTAAACCATATAGAATTTTATTTCTTCTCCATGATGGCCATTTTTAAATTTTACTAGTTTTTTATTTCTAAATGAAATGATAATAAAAAAAAATCGAAAGAATAATATTACAAACCCAACAATTTCAATGATTTTAATTTTTTTAAAATTTTTAATATTTTTATTGTTAAATATATATATATATATATATATATATATATATATATATATATATATGTGTATGTATGTATTAAATATTCATAATGTATATTTACTCAATGCAAAATTTTTATATGTTTCATTGAATATGACAGAAAAAAAAAATTTTGTCTATTTACATTATTTGGACTCTTATCCTCATCTTCATTCAATTGATATTAAATAATGTTTCAATATTTTATATTTAATCCTTCTTCATTTCAGTTTGAAATTTATAAATCAAACCCTTTATTTTTTATCCTCATTTTAATAGATAAAAAAATTTTCAGGAAGGAAAATTTGATGAATTTTTTTTTATATTTTTGAATATTCTTAAATTTTTTTTTATCTGGTGGTAATTTTAAAAAATTAAATAATCAT